AACCCGCATGCACACTGAGAGAAAATACCGATTATTCACGTTCACTTGTCAGCCGGCGTCTTGGTCATGTTATAACTACCGGTTTACGAGAGTGTGCACAATACGGTCAGGATATTATAATTGCATATTGTATAATGGAATCTACGCGAACGCTTTTAAAAAACGCCGTAACCAAGGGAATTGTATTGTTCACTAAATTGAAGGCTGTGACTTGCGTTATGTATAAGCTAGTGCTCCCGGTGCATCTTGGAATAAAATAATATAGATTTGTTGACATGTCTTGACCCGCTTCCCACTGTTCGATTGAATCTACAATGATAATAATAAAATGCCATCACATTCTCTCAAGTATAATTGTTTATTTTAAATTATTGGCGCCCTACTTCCCGACAATCACCCGTTCGGAAATCGTTGATGACCGACATGTCGTCACATCAGTTTAACGTGGCCCGACTCATTCAGATATTCGTTGGTATCAGTAGTGACATAAAACGTAGGTATAATGATAAAGACTGGTGTTTCTAAGATATAAAGGAGTTTAGTTTAACGCAATGTTTTACCTACTGGCGGCCAGTTAAATAATACTGCATAGAAACACTAGCGTGCCAAAGTACTATTCCGCTTAGATACAGAACTACTACTGTCCTACGCAAGACGTGCAATATGGCTCTCTGCTCATCAAAGTTGAATCTATTAAGTAGATCGCGCTTAGTAAAAATTTAATGGCGTCGTTTTATTTCTGCGGTATTCCGGATGGGAGGGAGTGTCTTTGTCCATCATATGTGTGACCCATTCTGGTCATGATGGTATCGCAGGGAAATAGTGTAAAACATGTCTTCCCGGTTAACATGTTATTTTAGCTAATTCAGCTAAGCCGTGATTTCGCTAATTTAATTTAAAATATTCTCACAATGTATATGTTCCTCCCGTGTAGAATGACACAAGTTACACATTCGGCCTGAACATTAGTTCGATCTCAGACAACTGATAAATTAGTTTATTTATTAGTTGTCTGAGATTCGATTGAATGCGAATAAGATCCTATTTGCAAACAAATTCAAAACATTTGCCATGGTTGAGTGATAGACGTCGGGAAATCGAGCACTGCAGTGAGTAACATTTTGGAGCTATAAATTTCACGATTTTCGGTCGGTTTCTGTGTCGTTGTAAAATAAATCCTCATAAATAAACTATTGATAGATGCATTGTGTTCGAGTGGCATACTGAATTACCGATGCTATAGGAACGATCCGAGTGGTGGAATTGTGTCATGAACCGTTAGTGCATATGTGACAATACTGTATAGTTCCATATGACGTCATCGTTTCACGGACCATTAAACTTGATTGGATGGAAGCTCTAATCCAAATTAACAGGTATAATGTTCACTCTTTTCATATAAACCCATGCAGGACCATTTCATTACGTCACTATAATTAGTAGCACATTTGTAGCACTTCGTCTATTAAAGCTGTTACGGGGACTGTCGGCCAAAAACGTTCGATTGAAAAAGTTATGTTGTTTTCTTTGATAAAATAGAAGCAAGAATACATCTGAGTAATGTATACTCGTATCATTTATACATGTTTTGTTATTGCATGTTTATCGTCCAATGGCAGCTAACTGTACGACACGATCCCGCCCCAAATGACGGAGATTGCGTCATTTTATTTACGAGAATGTTGCACTTTTTCTAGCGTCAATTATTTTTACAGGAGGTCTGGCGTTATCGAACCTGATTCTTCGTAAGCTTCGTTTTCATTGTCGAATCTAAAGATTAAACATTTCGATAACGTACAAACGTGTTTATTTCTTTTCCATGAGAGATCAAATCCCACCGCTTCGAGTCATGATTTTTTTACATGGAAAATGACGCGGGTATTTTCGATCTCAATAGCAGAGGCTAATCGATAAAAATAAGTCCAGTCAGTGAATTCACTGATACCGCGGGGGTCAAGAGAGTCTCGAGTCTTGTTACCAGTGATCGGGGCTAGGTAACACAAAATATGCGGGCAGATCGACATTCATTCAGTGGTGAATTTCAAAGGGCATTGTGGCAACTCCGCAGTAATTTACATTGACACGGCAGTAACAGCATACAACTAATCGCCATAAATGAGATACCGTGTTCGTTTCATTGCCCGGTGTTGTTGAATTCCAGGCGCGACACAATACACGCAGGTTCAGGTAATTTATTTTCTCCGTTCACTGAGCAGAGATTCACGCTTATTGGCAACGCTTTCAACCCATATTAGGTGTCCCTGTTAGCGAGCGTTCATGTTCTAGATAACATAAATAACGACACTCAGACCCTTCAATCTAAGCTAAATATTTGGGTTAATTTTGTTTAGAGAATTCGTGTTGTTTTCCCTAAAAATATACATCGGGGTCAATGTTTACAATTCTGCCTTCCCAGTTATAAATTGTGTTGGCGATGCGAAACATTGTTGGCGGCAGTGGAGAGTATGGAACAACTGGACTAAATACGATGTCAAGCAAAGATCTGTTTGGCCATGGACCTAACATGGGACCTTGGTTTCACTGACATGAGGTTACTGCGTCTATTGTTTATTAGGCCGTTGTTATGTAGATGAATATTATAGACTGTAACAATAATTTAAAGAAATACAAAAAAATTGTACCACAGAATTTGGCAAATTCCGACAGTGTTTTCGACATCAACGCAGCATTTGTAAACAGACGTTCTCTCAGCTCTTTCGGTTCTTCAGTTTGATTCAGTTGTTTGCCCTCATTATATTGTACACATAAGATACATGTCCAAGTTTCCAAACTCACCTGTACCGGTAGATCTTAAATTCATACGGGTCTGGTACCCCTGCCCGCTCAGAGTCGAACCCAAAGGTGGTACGTTTAAGGTGTTCGTCCTCGACGACGTAGTTCCTACGGTAGTCTTTCATATAGCGGCGCGTGTCGCTGTAATGTCGGAAACTATACGATTTCTCCTGCAAGGGGTTCAGCTGACCGCTGATATACAGCGGTGGTTGAGGAGGTGTGTTGGCGTCGTATTTCGAGCCCCCGTTCGGAGCCCGGGTCGCTCTCTGGGAACCTTTCCTGGCCCGAAAACAACCCAGACAGTTGTTGATATCCCATCCACATAGCTTAGAGTCTTCATAGCAGTTTTCCAGCGGACAACATGTGCACGCCTCTCGGTGAAGACTACCCATCAGATGCTGCACCAGGTCTTTGCGGCGTGGCGAGAAATTACATGATTGATCCCCCATCGGGTTGTTCATTGAACTCGTTTACGAGCACAGGGCGACAAACAGCAGCAGTCACGAGGACGATACGTGTACCATCACTGCCAGTTGCTGTCCGCCATTACGCTTTTACGGGCGAATCTTCTGACATGGTTCGCATTGAATAATCTGTAGTGGCTTAACGTTCACGGTCTGTATATAGCTGGAATCCACACATGACGAGGACCGCTACAATACCCGTGTACACAGTAGCGCCACTGACGACAACTGAGCATTTTACCGTGTGTATTCACACGCGCAGCAACCGTGGCATTGTTGACAACCTATTGTAATATATCTAGCCTCCGTGGCCCAGTTCTGAGTGACGGATTGCCCTTGATTAACGCCCATTGGTTGAAAGCCTCGTTATGCCCCACAAAGGAAGCCCAACGCAAGTTGACACAGTGCCACAGTCGATATCTGGGTTGGGCCGTATATTTTTTTGTCAATACACATACCTGTACTTATGGAACGAAATACAATAAAATATTGCATTTATCGCTCCTTGAGCATATTTGCAAATGCGACACACCGACAGCTCAGCGGTTGACACTCAGACTCTGAAGTTTAAAAGTTCGCATATTTCACGCAGGGTTGTCTAGAACCCTTCAAGAGGAAAGATGTTATACTTCGCAAGAAAAACAACATGATTTGATAACACCCTCAATTATGTCTGCGTGCTCGGTGGGCGAAAGGAACAACAAAGCGTTCTATTTGAAGGAGACGAAATGTGCGTATTATTGTTGGACCGACTTTGAACACCGGCACCGAGCAGCGTTACAAAGAGTGGGGAGGTAGGTCTCCAGGGTGCCAAACATTTCACCGGACGATGTCATGTGACGTCATTACCATACGCTGTCCGAAATAATAAAAAACAAAACAAAACACGTGCGTGTCATGTCGAACAGAGCAACACGAAATCAATAAATCAGGGATGTAAATAGTTGTCCAACTCACAGACGCACATCTATAAACATGTCATATCTATTCGACCATGATAAATACGAACACTGCACGTCGTTTTCAATCTGTAATAATCTGATTTGCATAATTAAAAGCATGAATCATAATTTATACTAGAACCATTGTATACCTGTACTTACCATGACACAGAACATCGACAATACCGAGACATGGGCGTGGTTGAAAAAATACTGATTTAATGATAGCATTTTTTGTATTTGCATTTAATAATAATAATAATCCCAAATTGAAGTGGCGTTTTAGAGAGTCCAGACAAGCCGCTGGTGGCGCGACGTTGCAAGACACGATTGCCATTGTCAGGATTGGCGAAGAGCCGATCAAAGTTGCTACTGTTTCAGACACTGTTCACACTTTCGCATCTGGCCATTTCGAAGATGCTCGTAGTTTGTATTTATATCACGTGATCGGATATGTTACGAGGTCACTCGTGACGTTATCGGCTGCAATAGCCACACATACACCCACACTTGATATCAGGTGACAATCTTGATATCGCATGACCATGACTGCTATCTTATGCGATCCGAAATCATTTCGCACCACACCACGTAGCACCGCATCGCATCACAGAGCACCGCATCGCATCGCATTACATAGCACCGCATCACATCACATCACATAGCACCGCACCGCATTACATAGCACCGCGCCCGCATCACATAGCACCGCACCACATAAAATCGCATAACATGACGTCCACCCGACATCGCTTCACATCGCCTGGCACCACTTTGCAAATCGCACCGCGTCATATCACAACAGTTTGATTAAAACAGTATTGAGTGTAACACTCGATAAGTGGTATTTTGATAATTCCTAAAACACGCGTGATAACTTTCTGAACACAAAGTACACGATGTGAACATTTTACATCAACAATGGTCACGCCTCATGCAAGTTCTTTGATAGCCTGCTTTGATTGGCCAGTATTCAGTAACAATAACATAATTGGAAACTTGGTCTGAAACGGTCTATGACATACAATAGTGTCTGTACATTTCGAAGAATAAACTTACGCACGTGATCTGCGTCAGTCGAGGCGAGAGTCCAGGTACGTATGATGGTGCTTGTACTACAGCACTGTAACTCTGACGTCCATGACAGACAGTAGTCGGTAACTCAAAGACAGCAATCTAACATAGGACCAACATTGTGCCAAGTCAAATTTATTTATGTTGGCCTTGGATCAAAAGTGACGTCACTGCTCAATGTCAGCGTAAGTCATTAGTACCCGGAATTGAGGACAACTATGTGTGATGGCCACTGTAACGGGGTCTTGTCCTTTAATTGCCTGCTTTTTTGAAAATAAAATCGAAGCTTTCTGTAAATAATTAAAAAAATAAGTAGAAATCAATTAAAAATGCAAAGCGTAGCCTCCTAGTAGGAATCGTTTCACCACGTCCAAAAAAAACTTCACTTTTGGTCTCGAGTAGCAATGCATTGGATGTACGTACGTCTAAACCAAATAAATCTATTTCAAAAACGACACTCTATTTGGCTTTTACGAAAAAACGACAACAAGATACAATTATTAATTCATCAAGTATCGATGTGTCAAAAAGATACACGGAATGAAATCGTATCATCGTCAGAGGGCGCACTTACAAACACACGCCTGACAATACGGAGAAACTTGTATTCCACTCAAAACATGTACATATTTTAAGGTGGGCCATAGTTTACTCAATATGTCTTTCCCCACGCAATATGTGTGTTGCAGCTTATGTCTAATTCACAGCGAAATTCGTGTCAACATTGGGATCTCTCCAGGGGATAAAAGCTTGTTCTTCGACATAGCTACAGACGGAGCTATAGACTGAAGCCTAAGCCCACTCACACTACAACTCTCACTGTTCATCTGCCTGTTTCAATTTAAAGATTGTCAACACTAATTCTCAATTTAGTTACATCAGCTACATGTAAGGGCTTTTAAACAACAATGAGGTATGTTTCCACACCAAATTCTTCTATAAAGTGCCCATCAGTCCGGAGACCATCTCTGTCAAAATATAAACAGAGCTATAGACTGAAGCCTGAGCGCACTTACTACATTGTTCATTTCTTTATTAGCAAAGCAAGTGTAAAACACGAAGTCGCTAACATATATTCCACCATTTTAATTAGTTACTAATCACATAGCAATGGCTCATTCTATTGTTTTAAACATTAGACCAATCATAAACACTTCTGTTGAATATATTAATTTAACATGACGTCATCTCCACTGAAAGGATAAATGAACTTAGTCACGGTTCATTACAGAAACCTCCTTTTATTTAGACCACACTTGCGTTTGTTCTTACTCTAAAAAAAACGCACACAGTTACACTCTGGAAAAAGATTTTCATTCAGTTTCTAACTTTTTCAGTTGTTTTGGATTATTTTGGTTCTAAATGCTAGTTCGTCAAATCTCACTCTAGTTTGATTTTCTGTTTTCGTCCGCACGTTCAGTATTTCTAAAGTTCATGGTCGTTTTCTTGACAGAGCCGTCGTTTTTACTAGTACGCTGAGATACGTACATTGATGCGAAGATGTGAATGCTATGTCGATAGAAACTGCTGGTAACTTGCAGTCACGTGATCAACTATCCAGTTTTTGTGTTGGGTTTCTGTTTAGCATGCTTTATTACATTCCAGCATGCAGCCCTGAGAGTTGAACATCATAATTCTTAAGTAAAGATTACACATATTTAGATAATAGTAGTTGCTCACGCGGTTAATTAATTACCAGCTAAAAAATACCGTTTGGACACAATATGTCGAGTGCGCTTATCAAACGGTTCCGTACAGAATCATCGCTCTTATGACGGAAAAAACATATTAAACACAGATTATAAAATCACTACAGGCTGATTAACATACCGAATTGGGATAGTCCTGTCTGATTTGATAACTGATACCCAAACAGGTTACATGCAGATTTATTGCGATTGCACTTTAAACGACCGTGTTTCACTTTTCGATATTGTGCTGGCGCCATCTACGGTGGTGTTTTGTTTTTTTATCAAAAAATGAAATTTATTAAATATTTTTTTCTCATGTGCGCCCAGTTTCAGGGCATGCGTCACTTGGGTCAAAGGTGCGACTAACATGTGGTCTTTTGTTTACTACTTAGCGGCTGTGTACCTGTGGGTTTATTCTGTGTGTATTTGGATTCCAGTGATTTCTCTAGGTGCAATCCAAATACAGAATTGATGTCTTGTTAACCTGAGATTTGTAAAAGTTTGAGCTGGCCAGCATGTTAGTTTTTTTTCATGTGGTTGATTACTTGCATGTTGTTTTCCCATTTTTGAGCCATGTTTTCAACTTTTTGTTATCATTTTCATATATCTCTTCACATGTTAACATTGTCTTCTCTGGAGTTTCAATTGGTGGTATGAGCCCTTTTAGGTTGGTTGTGATTGTTGTTTACACATGGATTGTGTACTGTCGTAGAAGTTTCACTGGTTTGATTATATCAGGTCTTCCTTTGTCTTGCTGTGTTACTGTGTTCAGTGGATAATGATAATTATCTACGAAGTGATTGCATGGTTTGAAGTGACGATATTTACACGCTGTGCGAAGTGGCACGTATTGATCGATATTTTGAAATAGCAAATTTATCCAATATGCTAAGCCTGTCATAGGCATACTAAAGAATATTTTCTCATGATTCTTCTATAAAAACAAATATTATGCCCGGCTTTTTCATTGAATAATATGAGCCATGATATCGATTGTATGTTACATTTGTCTCGTGTGATACTGCTGTGAACTGGGCGTTGTGTTCAGAGAACTTTGACTCGCTTGGAAGATAACGCCCATACGTAGAGATACCAGGTCCGATTCAAAGGAATGCGCATTAGTTCATTATAGATAGTCCAGCTTTATTTATCTAAACCCTCAGCTGAGGTAAAGCCTCGCTGTCTCCTTCTCACTTCTCCTTTTACAAAATCTTACAAACTTACAATCTTACAGTAAACTCTAAGGCATGGCAGAGTAAACATGCGACCAGTCAATCGC